GGTCCCAGCTACTTGGGAGGCTGAGGCAGGAGACTCGCTTGAGCTCAGGAGTTGGAGGTTGCTGTGAGCTATGGTGCCACGGCACTCTGCCCAGGGGGATAGCTTGAGGCACTGTCTCAAAAAATAAATAAATAAATAAATAAATCTAGACAATAATTTGGAAGGGAGTCGGGAGTCAGCAAACTGGACATGTGAATTGATTATGAATGTTTTTTATGCCCTGTGACTGAACTTAAAGCCCAATAATATACCGAGCCAACACATTCCACAAAATACAAGATAAAAAAATATTGAGGCCAGGTGCAGTGGCTCACCTCAGTAATTCTAGCACTCTGGGAGGCCGAGACAGGTGGACTGCCTGAGCTCGCAGGTTCAAAAGTGAGACCTCACCTCTAAAACTAGCTAGGTATTGTGGTGGGAGCCTGTAGTTCTGGCTAGTTGAGAGGCTGAGGCAAGGGAATCACTCGAGCCCAGGAGTTTGAGGTTGTTATGAGCTATGAGGCCAAGGACAACAAAGTGAGATTGTCTCAAAAAAACTTAAGGTAAATTCCAATTTCTTAAAGCTAATAGCAAATATGCCCAGAGTATTCCTATGGAAGAAAAATGTGGTCCTTTCTTTATGACAGAAAACTATTAATTGAAAATAAAACTAACATAACCCAAAATATCAGACATGTAAAAATCATGGTAATTCCTTTGTGTGTGTGTAGAGACAGAGTCTTATTTTATCGTCCTCAGTAGAGTACTGTGACATCACAGCTCACAGCAACCTCCAGCTCTTGGGCTTAGGCGAATCCCTTGCCTCAACCTCCCAAGTAGCTGTGACTACAGGTGCACTACAGGCGCCTGCCACAATGCCCCGTTATTTTTTGTTGCAGTTTGGCCAGGGCCGGGTTTGAACCCACCACCCTCAGTATACAGGGCCAGGGCCCTACTCACTGAGCCACAGGCACCGCCCAAAATCATGGTTATTCAATGTTAACAAAGTGATTCAATGTTAATGAGCTTAAAATGCCCAGTTATAAATAATAGCAAACCTTAATTTCCACTAGGAAATTATTATAAATAATAAATTTTGCTACATCCAGATCTTTTCTTTCTTTTTTTTTT